GAAAGTTGAACAGAGTATAATGGGAATTTGCTGCAATATTTTTGTTTGATTAAAAAAATATATATAGGTGATGCAGGGTGTTACAGTATGTAGGCTTTACTGGTGCATGTATAAATGCAAAAATATCTTAAATGACCTGAAGGTTTAGTTTTCCGGTACTGTTTTGTCAGCAGCTGCAGGGCTTATCCTCTGTGGATTAGTGTTACCATGGCTGAGTACGTTTAACAGGATTACTAATCTGAACTATGCTACCACAGCGCTCCATGTCAGTGTTTGCATGTATACTTTTAAATCTGCCTTTTGCTGCGTTTCTGAACATTTAGGTCCATGTTTGTGTATATGTAACTAGATCTGCATATGTAACAAGTTACCTCTGCGTGAATGGATCTACCTGCATTACTTTGGAAATGTGTCTCTGTCCAGTTTTGTGTATGTATATACTGAATGTATCTGTGGCCCAATGGTACCTCGGTTAAGATAGCTGTCTCTGTGAACATTAACAATGGTAGTGATTGGCCATTAGCTCTGTCTTACAGACACACACACACATACGCCAGTTTCCACTGATGTTAAATAAAGCAGGATACTGTTTACTAAATACTTAAATCACGTTCTGAGTGATTGTATGCATGTGTGTATTTCTGGACTTATGATTTATGACATCTTTATGAGACAGGTCATGTGCTCTATGTACGATTTATTGTGGTTCTATATTGTAACGGTTTACACATTTGATTGACAAGTGAAAGGTTGCAAGTTTGATTCCAGCTGTAGACAAGCGTAAAACTGCCAAATCAAACATGTGGTGCTACTTGCTGTGGTGGCCAGCTGAAGTATCACCACATGTTTGATTTGGCAGAATAGAAGATAATACATCTTCTAGTAATAGAAGACATTAGATTAATGTGTGCCAAGGTAAAGGCTGAAGTGATTTTCATGTCAGATGCAGTTGCTGAAATCTTACAGGTACAAAGAAAAAAAAAATTCTTTCAAGAACCTGATCCTTCAAGCTTGTTAAAAGAAAACAAATTAAATTAGAATTTTAAAAAAGTGATAAATCACGTAACACTAGCTCATTCTCAGTGACTTGCAAAGCAATAAAGCAAAAATTGAGAAAAAAAACTTTTTTCTTTTTTTTTTTAAATTGATCTACGTGTCACAGAGTGAAATAACTATTTCATCCCCTATGACCCAGTCAGAATTCTGGCTCCTATGTGCCTATGTGTCACACAGATAGCAAACCAGTCAATCTGTCACTCTTACTCCTGATCTCAACTCCTTATTTGTATAAATCACACCAATATTTTTCTTCCATTCAAACCTCACCTGATCACCATGGGCAAGAACAAAGAGCTGTTTAAGGACATCAGGGGCAAGATTGTAGACATACACGATTATTAATCTTTTATTTAATCTTGGAAAAAATCTCACTGAGAGTAAAAATCTAATTTCCAAAAGAGACCTGGCACAAGGCTAGAATGGCCAACAAGACCATCAGCAAGAAGCTTGGTCTTGGTGTAACTCATCAGAAATGGAAAAACTATAAAATGACCATCAGCTGCCCTTGGTCTGCAGCTCTATGGAAGATCTTGCAGTTCTCGGCATTGCGTATTTTGTTCTCCCTTCCTTTCCACTCTGTTCCTCTCTCTACTTTTACTGTCTCCCTCCCCTGATGCTGATGACATCTTTCCAAAGAGCCTTCTAAGATTTATGCAGGGGCAGGTGAAAACTCACTGGAGCAGGTGGAAAATTCAAGCCAGAGACAGAAGGGCGGATTTAGCATAATACAACAATTCACAACAATGTCTTTCTGGTGAAGAGGTAAGCAAGTACACCTGTCCGCATGCACAATGCTACAGTAAGAAGAGGGAAAAAATCTTTAGAGTCAGTCTCTGACTTTTGTCATGTCTCTTTCTCAGTGTTTCATGTTCCTCCAGGCCTTTTTTTTTCTTGACAAAAAAAGTCCACTATCCACCCACCCCATTTTTTGTTTCTGCCAGGTCTAAATGCAGTTGAAGCCTGCACGCTCACTGTGCAGCCTGAAAAGAACTTCATCCATTCCTTATGGTATTGTGCCATAAATGTCACATCATCCCTAGATACTTACCTACAAATGCTCCTTATGAGAGTTTTTTTTAAACATTCTGACTCAATGTGTTGCAAATTCAGACAGAAAACTGACTGACGAAGCAGCAACAAGTAAGCACTTGGCAATGATGGAAAAACAGCAGCAGTTACAAATAAAAGTATGTTTGTTTGTCTGAGGTAGTTGGGTTCAACGACAAGTATAATTCAGACACGACTCCCTCAAAATGTTACTTTTACAGTGTTCTCATGCACACCCATATCACACAAACACATGCACACACATACTCAGATAGCAAGCCACATGTTGCGTCAGTATTGCACAGTGTCTGTGTGAGTTACAACACGACTCTGAACACCACCAATTATAATCGACCTCAGGACTAATGGGAATGGGAATTAAAACTGACATATAATACCAATGTGTGAATGACAAGGGGTGGGTTTGATGCTCCTATGAGCCATGGTAGCTGAGAATATGCTGGGCATTCAAACCCTGCCAGTGTAAAAGTCCCACCTAGCAATGTATACCTTCTGGTTTATTTTGCCCTCGGTAAGCAAAAACGTATGATTTGGAAATTAATTTCTATTTTACAAAAAAAAAAGAGAAAAAACAAAAACAACAGTGTTTTGGCTAAGAGGTACAAAAGCTTTTTTCAAATTGCAGGCTGTCTTTTAGTTCTGCATTACTAATATGTGACGTGAATGATGCAATCCACAACCATGTCTGAGAGACATGCATGCACAGAGTAGCAATGGTATTTATCTGCTTCACGTGGTGGGCTGCATATGAAGTCAGGGAATTATTTATTTTATTTATTTAACTGATTTGTTCTCAGCCATATTGACAGTTTATCACAGTGGTCTCTTATGTATTTGCCAAAGCAACTGAACAAATACAGCTTTAAGTGAGAGTTTATTTGTACACATGAAGAGAGACTGCAGAGTATTCTTTCTGGAAGACGCAAGTAAGTAATTTCAAGTATGTTATATTATTACTACTTAAAAAAAGGTTTGTGAGTATAAGGATTATAATAAGTGGACAAATTTTACGTTCCATATAGACTCAGCTTTAGATAAATAAGTCGAGTCGTTTAGCATTTCTCAAGCAGGATAGATTAATAAAGTGTGACTTCTACTAAGTGGAGTACAAAGAAAGAGAAAAAGCTGCATTTTATGCACCACTTTTTCAATTTAGGATGTCTGCCTAAATGGTCCTCTGAATATGATATTAAATATAATACATGAATTGCTACATTGCAAAAGTAAGTTCCGTTTTAAAACGATGTGGTTTTTAATGTACCCAGAGATCTTCTGCATTCATATAAATATAATCAGTTTTTATTCAATTGAGAGTTTTATTTGTTTATAGTTTCAGACTTGTGCATGATATGCATAATTCTTTCTGCGAGAGCTTGCAAACTGAATTTCCCCCAGGACAATAAGTGTTATGGTATTCTTGTGCAATAAACTCATAGTCTTGACAAATAACTGTGACAGCAGTTTATAATAATGCTTTTTGCTGACTGCTTCCCTGTTGTGTCCACATTGTTAAAGTCAACATTTTGACTGTTGTATCACTCAATGACATTCATATTCTACTGTCACATCTCTGAATTGGAAAAACAAATACTAAGAGGATTAGAATTGCTATGGTTTTGACACAATTTAATAAACAATGTTTAGCTGCTGTGTATTTATTACAGATGGATGATTGGATTTCAAAGAACTGTGCTGGTATTATTATTATTATTATTATTTTGTGTTTGTCATTGAAAATTTACTTAAATATTCCACAGTAACCAGCTCTGTCGATTTAAGGTTGTTCACTGCACTAAACACACTAATAGCAGTAAACAGCTGACAAAACACATTACTGAACTATAATTCTTCCAGTGTCTAATAATAACTAACTAATAGGAGATATCTTCTTTTTCAGAAGTTAATATACAGTAATTGTGTCACATTCAAAGGCTGGATCTCTCACTAAAGAATTACACAAATTTATTCAGCCTTGGTGGCAAAGCTCCAAAACTTGACATGGTTGACAAATTCAGAAATGAATTTCTTTTCTTTCCAAATACAAGGATACAAATCATATGAGACATAAATTAACATAATGGTTCTGCTGAAACCACACCATGCTCTGTTTGGTGGCTTTTGCATATTAATTGATGTTTTGACCACTTAGTTGTTATTATTCAACATTTTTAGTACTCTGCTAGGTGTTTGAGCATGTAGTACAACTGAATTAAGCATCTTCACTGATTTGATATTATACAACAAATGTCATGGACCTATATACGAAGGCTTTAGAATAAGCAAAGAGGTGGATATTGTGGATGAGACAACGGTCAAAGATTATCAAATGAAAATTGTTACCATCCCTTTTTTCAATCAGATAATCATACTTGCAAAAATGGAAACTATACTTTCAGAATAGTATATGCATTGTTAATAAAGTTGGGGGAACAGGGGAAAAAATGTATTTATTCATAGTCTAGTCAGTTTTCTTTTTAATATTAAACTATACTTTATTAAAGAATAAAAGATTAAAAAAAAAACAAAGCCTACAATCAGCGTAATGGTGCAACAGCTGCGCTACTGACCATGCACAAAAGCAGCATGGTTTCACTTAAGTGTGTGTGTGAAAAATGTGTGTGTATGTGTGCATGCAAGACAGAGAGGACGTTCAAGCACAGCCAGCAACGCTTGAAGCAGAGCAGACATGCAAACAAATGTATTAAGATGGTGATGAGAAGGAAAGGTAACGCCAAAAAATTAACAAAGGGAAGAAAAAAGGGAGGGTGTAGGGCAGGGGACAACCAAAATGAAACAGTGTTTGCGTCGTGTTTATGGTTGTACTGTGACATAACATTGGGAAGAAAATATTCTGCCTATAAAGCAATAATCACCTTCGCTTGGGATGACTAGAATGTACGGCGTTGTTATTTGTCCCCTACCTATTACCACTAAGGCCAAGGGTCGCACGTCCCCGCCGGAAAGCATGAGAAAGAAAGGGAAGAGAGAAAACAAACAACAACAAAAAAGGAAAAGAAAGAAGAAAAAGTCTAAGAAAAAAAGATGTATAGTTGTCTTTCTTCAATTCATCAAGTTTTAGATCTCCCTGGTTTTCAATTGCACAATCTGTCTTGGAGGAGAGAAACTGCAGTGGTGAGAGATAGCACTAGAACCATGAGATCAATACCACTCAGCTGGGATATGACTGGTCTTATTTCTAGGAAATAACCCTCAATGAGCATCTTGACTGGCCCATTACCAGGAAAAGGCCAGAAAGAGGTGATGCTGGTGAGGATGTTTATTACAAAGTAGTTGTCAGTGAATGCAGATATGGTGTTGGCGGTTATCACTGGAGCTTGTTATGTCTGTTAGCCTGGTTTGAAGGGTTAATAAAAACAGGGGAGTGGGAAATGTAAGACGGAAGAAACAAAGTGATGGTTAAAAGAAAATAAATTATGAACTTTGTGGCATGGGAAAGTTGGTGGAGAGACCAATTTTGGCATCTGACTCTAGTTAATACTTTCCTTTATACAGCATTCTAATACAAATACTGTAAAACTACTAAAAGTTTAATGGTAGAATATTTGTTTTGGAAGAGTAAAACTGAGGCAGGTATGCGGCTCTAGTTGTCCCTCCTTTTGTTCTCAAAAGTCACTTGAGCTATTATTGCTTTGTTACCTTTAAATGCTTAATAGCTCACAATGTGGTAGATTAAGGCCTCACAATTTTATTTTTTGCAGTTCAGAAACAACAGAAAGAAAGCAAGTGATGTCACGTACTTATTGTAAATATGCAATAGTGCATGATAAGTGCACATATATTGGATATTAGGTAATGCAGCAAACATAATCATAATTATTTGCAAAATCAGCCATCTGCATTGCCTCAGAACACCAAATAACAGCATATTAATGATACTTCATGTATAAAAATCTTTTTTTTTTTGGATTACATATAATTTCACATACTCAAAATAGATTTGTATTATTTTTAAATATATGAAAGACGGCCACAAAGTTAAAAGCATGTCTTTTTCCAAGCACACATACATGCAGACAGACAGAGCGCAGTGTTTAGACACTGTAGACATCCTACCAGAGTACATCTCACTCAAAAAAGAAAAGAAAAAAATGAAAATGGATTAAAAAAAAAGAATGGTAAAAAAGATAAGAATGTTCATAAAAGAGCAATAAATGTTTTATGTAGACAAAAAAATAATAAGAGAGTTAGAGATACAGAAACAGACAAAGGAGATGTGGAAAAATCAAATCAATGCCTGATGCAGATGAAAAACTAAAACAGATAAAGGAGACAAGGTGAGAGAAAAAATCAATAGCAAGCTGAAAAGCTTTTAAAGCATATTGCCTGGCACATAAATGGGTGTATTTGCCAGAGATGAGCAGCAAATAAAAATGGGAGACATGGGGAAAGCAAAACAGAAGAAGATGAAATGGGTTTTGGAGCTAACACTTTAGCCTTCATTCACTGGGTTTAATGAAGGTGGTCAATTGGTATTATAATGGCCCCAATGTTCCACTTTATACCCTTTATACTGCGAATACAATTTGAACATTGAACATTGATGACCAACATGGATGTGGTGTGAGATGCAAAAAGAATAGCATGATGGAGGAAAGTCACAGAAAAGGTGAGTGTGAAAAGGGCTATAAGGATAGAAGAGATGGAGAGAGAATGCTATGCGACAAAATCATGCAAGATAACGTGGATGTGGTATAGGTTTGCCCGGGCTGATGGTTGTGAGTTCACCTTTTCCAGAATAGTGTGCAATCTTCTCATCTTGGCTGATACACTTGTAGCACAACACAATTCTAGGGGGTTGTGTATTCGCACCATTTTTTCTTTAAAATGAACTACTAACAAATTTCAAATTAAAATTACAAATATCTTATCATAATTAATGTGCATGTTGACTATCAATGGAAGGCTGCTCATACCTTTGTTAGCCAAGCGGACACAGTTGATTTTGGTTTCCTGTGGAGAGAGACAGACAGGTTAACTAATTACCTTGTGGTAAAATATACAGTTAATTTTTCAGATACTAGTGTTTTGAATCATGAGGGTAAGGCTTTGTTGAACACATAGGAAAATGGTGGAAAACCCTTTGAAATCTGACTTTTTTCTGAGTATTCTCCAAGGCGTAAGTCAAGTTTCGTTTGTTGCAGTATTGAAAAATCATTGGCACTAGCTCTATTCTGTACAGAATGATCAATGGACTGGTTCTTATTTAGCACTTTTATACTATACAACTGAGCACTCAAAGTGCTTTATACAAGGATCAAACCACCCACCTTCCAATTAGTAGACAACCTACTCTACCTCCTGAGCTACACCCACCCCCAAAAACAGAGCAGACAACAATGATTGCAGAGACAGAGACATTAAGTCAGACAAAGCTTGAAAAAGAAAAGCTGAGCTATAGTTGGGCTGTAAACTGGCCTCCAGATACACAGCAACTGTGGTCAAGCTAAAACAACATAAATGCCGCATGTATCAGCCATCCGATGACATTGGCAGGCATTGAGATCAGCTGATGTCCAGAGGCTGCAGTATATCTTGAATTGCAAACTCAGCACCATGTTTTAGAAAACTTTTAGAAAACGTTGAAACAACTGACAAAGAAAAGTGTTAAATCTGAAACAGGAACCAGAAAATCAATCAGGAATCATGCTTTGGAAATTTGTCCACAACAGTTTTAAAAAATGTATTTAAATCATAGTTAACAGACTAAAACAAGGTACCCTCTTTAATATATGGGTTGACTGCATACAGTAACCACTTGCCTGACAGTGCATATATTGCATACACCACGTAATCATTGGTCTTAATCATCAGTAAGATCACAAAACCATGCCACTGGCTTCTCATTTTGTCCAAACACACATGATTGACACATCAATCATACCAGGATCAATATGCTGTACAATTCTTGGTGTTGATTCGAATGGTTTTCCACACATCATATATAAATAAGTGAAAAAAGTACAAAAGTACCTTCATTGGTATTAAACACTCATTTTTCTCAGCATTGTGATGGCCCTAAGCTTTGGCCAGGGCCTACTGTATTTTCCCCTTTGCCCCTCTGTGTTGTCTTCTAGGTTCCTAGTAGGTGGAGTTAATTAGTGTAACTGGGAGCACCTGGCTAGTCTTGCTTGAGCATTTAAGAGTTGTCTGTCTCAGGTTTGACTTTCTTACATCAGTCCTCGGGTTACAGAAGCCTATTGTTGTTGAATATTAAGAACTGGAATAAAGCTGCAGATTAATATTTTGATCTCATAAATGGGTCAACAGACTCACAGAGTCATCAGGGGCAGTCATCATTCCCATAAGATGGGCATAAGTAGAAGAACATCCATTATTTAAGTCTATATGCAGCGGAACTGTGTGCAGTAGTGCTTGCACTGGAGTGGGCAGAGGGTTTGAGAGATAGTAAGATGCTTATATTCAGTGTTTGATACAGTGACAGCCAGTAAGGACTTGGATATGATCTGTGAGATTCTATCAGTTAATTCTTGCTTAAATGAACAGGGCAAAAGTACAACATTGGGTACCAGCACACACAAGAATTAATAGCAATAAAAAGGAAGACAAACAAGGTAGATATTCAAATCAAACCATCCAAGTCAGGGAAAAACAGAGCGGGGAAATAAACTGGCAAAAAAACTGGGATGGTGGAAGTAAAGGGAGTCAGTCATGCATGATACAAAGAAAGGTAGGATAGATAAGGAGCTAGGGCACTAACGAGAAACGTGTGATAATCAGCAGACTTTCAGTTGTACACAGTCGTTTTAATGGGACACTTTTTATTATGGGGAAAAATCCAACTAACTATAGTAATGTGAAACTTGATATTTGTTTGTTTGGCTTGGGCTTGGCCATTTTGGTTTGTTAGGTTTTACACTACAAAACACCACATTAATTAATTAATTGCCTTTTGTAAACTTTTGTCCAAATTATGTCTCTCCCATTATTTGTCATAGCTCTTGAGCCAGATGACAACAGAATGTACTGAAGGAATACTCTTATATGATTCTCCAATGAATTTAAATGTGACCCTATAAAAAATACATACATAGTACAATATAAAACTACAGTATACATATCTTGATATTTACAGAAAATAGGGTAGAAGATGTCTCTCAGCCTCTGTCTTTTAAACCAGCACGTTTCATTCCTTTGCTGCCCGTGCCTTTTCCTCTTTTCTTTCTTTTATGATGTGCTGTCATCAGTGCGTGCACCTATCTCACCCACTTGGCCTCTTTCATGTTTTGGCCCATTTGTCTTCATCAAATATAAAGACTACAGCAGCTACCAACACGGAAATGTGTTACCTCAGCATTAAAATCAGTCCTAATGTACATGCTTCTGTACACTCATTTTCATTTTAATTGTGCCATTTTGGGTCTTACTTAGATTACTGTAAACGGTCTTCCTGTAGGAAGAAACAAAATAATTTAAGAAGAAGAGATGCTTTGCAAAGCCTAAAGTTAAGCTAATTTCTGTGCTTAAATACAGAAGAAAAACTCTTTCTTCAAGGTTGCTCTTAGCAGTGGAGTTCAAAAGCAAACAAAAAGCCCACCGCACTGAATGTGACAAGTTTTAATTCATAAACACTCCAAAACATAACATAACAAAGTTAAACATAAGAGAACAAATGGTAGCAGCCTGCACCTCATCTGACCCCTACTCAAAAACATCATTTATATATTCCACTAGATTGGCTTTTTAGATTTAATTATGTGGTCAGGGGCCAAAAGTAAGTCCAGCTCTATTCAAACTACAGTTTGGTATTTGAGGATTTAACACCATTAACTTATATTGTTCATTTTATTGTCATGTTTACAAAGATTTATGAAAGGATACATGCAAGCAAATGATAGATCCTATGAGCATCTTCAAACACACCTGCTTCTACTAAATCTCTGTCTGCTTTCCATCTGTCCATCTGTCTGTCTGAATAATGACTCTCTCAATCCCTGGCTGTTCAACTGCTTTGTTGTCTTATTTATCCGTTTCCCTCATTTGTCTCTGTGCATAATTTGACTGAAGGAACCTGTAGAAAACTGAGAGTGAATGTATGATAAGAGTCACATGTACACACATGGCTTTCAAGAGCAATTAATGTACTCTTCAGTTAATATGTAAAATAGAGGGCAAGAAAAACTGATTCGTAAGACTAAAAAAGGGATTTCACCAGGCCAATACATGTGTGCTAATGACAAAAATCATGCCACTTGCTATTTCTAAAAAAAATGGATGCTGTATCTACTAGAGACTGAACAAATTCCTCAGTGGGGGAAAACAAAACGAGACTTGTTTTTGAAGATATTTTGATTCATGATATGGGACACTAAACTTGTCAAAACATAATTTCATTTATACAGAATATAATGAATACTGAATTTACAGCTGCGTCGCAGCAATGCTCAACATAAAATATTCACAAAGGTAACATAACTTTGTACTTGTAACACATTAACATGGCTCCTCAAAAAAAGAGCTCAATGCTGCTCATTTCTATGATACTGTAATTACACCACAAAAATATATTAGTAGTACTGCTACTGACTACCAAGATTCTAGTATTGTGTGACCCCTTTATTTGCTTGGCATATGAGTTATTATGTTTTTGAAGGTTTGCAACTTACAAGGACATATGTGAGAACCTACACATACCTATTGCCTTGCACTTTAGAAGGATTTATATGTAAGGGAACTAACAGGATATAGGAATCACTTCTGCTATAACCTGAGGTACGCACAGTCCAGACTGGTTCCCAAGAGTTTGCACCTTGGGTCCGCAGACAAGGGGCAGTAAAAGCATAAGACGAAGCATAAGAAATAACCATCCAAAAACGCTACTTCTAAGGCTTCAAAAGTCAATGGGTGACATCCTGGGGGTTTCAAACATCGTTTTTTTAACTGTCTGATTAGGCCTAAAAAGTAACAAATGTTTCAAAATACTTTCTTTCATATGCCTACTCCTCTAAGAGTGAAATGTATCATATGAATGGACACAGTTGGAATATGATCAGTTTCATGAGGACCAATGAATTGTGTTTCTTTATAAACTGACCCTATTGTACCCATTTATGGTCCATTTAGAGGCGTGGTTGTTTTGGATTCACAGTCACTGTGAACAGAAACACGGCCTCCACTTGGCTCATGCTAATGGACTAAGCCTCAGGGGGTTATAAGAAGCGAAGCTAATAAATATAAGGATTTATTGCCCTGACTCTATACAGAGCATTTGGAGACCAGAAGGGGGTTGAGGTGTTTACAATGGAACACAGCATTCATTTCTGTGTGTAGTAGTTAACGTTGTAGAGCCTGACAGGAATACTAAAAGTGCAAGAGAGATGCAGCTGCTGTGTGGGTGAGCTCTCTCTCCATCCATCTATCGTTCCATCTTTGCCAGTCTTTTCCTCTCCTTTTTTCCCCAATTCAATCACAGTTGGTTGGCTCAGTGTTCTAACCGACTGGTAGGATTTTCAATCATGTATGTTTTTTCTGTGACTTCTGGATACTGTGATTAGCTGTTGGAGTTCCCAGGCAACCCCATGTAGCCAGGGTAACAACTTTAAAAAAAAAAATAATAATGTTACCCTGTCTTTGACACTTTGTTTCTTTTTCTTTTTCCTGAAGCTCATTCTTTTACCAAAAACTCTTGATACTCAGATGAGCAGGCAAACGCATGGGCATGAACTGCTCATGCACAGTATATGCTTCCATTGTTTAATTTGAAAAATGGCTGTTTAATGAATAGAATCTTAATAAGTCTATCACAAATGCAAACTTAGACATATGTACGTGCAAAAATTCCTACACACTTACCCACAAGCCAAACGTACGAAAGTGTGTGAGCCTTAGTCATACACCAGCACACAGAAAAAATGCATTTAGGGATTTCTGAGTCATCTGAGTGCATCTTGATTGACACTGACTGTCAGTTGGTAAAATCTTCCTCTGTCTCTCTCCTACACTCTCCAAAAACTGCACTCTGAGGCTTGCTTGGTGCGTGTGCGTGTGTGACGTTGATTGTCAGAGCATCTTGGCCAACCCCTGAGGCTTTTTACTTGTCAAGAAAGGTGTCTGGCTACATTTCTCACACTGCAGAAGGGCATGTTTTTCCATGTTTGTCACACTTTCCTTTTGTTTTGTGCCATTTCCCACCCCATTTCTCCTTGCATTCTACTTCCTCCTCCTTTACCATTTTCTTCAAATACTTCCACCTTCCCTGACTCCAGAATCTCCAAAATCCTTCACCTCCTTTTGTCCTCCCATGAATTTATTCCAAATTTCCCATCCTGTTTTTTATCCATTTTATCCACGGATCATTTTATGTATGTTGACAAGTAAATCTTGGTTAGACCTTTCTCAGTCGCCCTTCTTTAAACCTATTACTTCAGGTAGCTCTGTGTATATTATCTTTCAGACACATTTAATCTTTTTTCAGACTTTTGTCCTGCTTCTATATTAAAAAATTAACAACACTAGGTGTGATCTTTCAACCTTTCTAAACCTCTCCTTAATCTCTTTAGTTACTTTTCATTTGCAACTAGAAACTTTAATATATTGTTGGTTGTTATTTGCTCAGAGGCAACGTGCATACTCAATTAATAAAATACCCCACTTAAGGATTTCATTTGGGTCACAGGGAGGTGATCAAAATGGATAACCGTGCTCACATTCTCGTTTCTGCTTGTGTACATCTTTAAAAAGAAAACTTGGTTAAGTATAGATTGTGGTTTTGGTTAAATGCTAATGAACACACTGGGTCAAAAGTATTTTTTTCCAGTAACCAAACTCATGACAGTTCCGCTCATATCAGTTTTTATCTTTATTGACTTCCATCTTTGCCTCTAGTATTATATCTTGTTTAATGTCTCTTTTACTCTTTTTAGATTGCTATTACCCCTCCCACAATTCTCTCTCTTTCCCTACTCCCAAACCACTCTTGCTCTTACTTCTCTTACTTATTGCCCTAGGCATTTATTCTTGTGTGTGTGTATGGGTGGGTGGGCGACGCGTGTGCTCGTGTGGCAACGCACAACATGGAGACGTCGAGATTGCCTAGTAGCTTTAGTGTGCAGAGCTAACTGGCACAGTGACAGGAGATGAGAGACTGGCATCAGACTGATGTTACCTCTGGGAGAATCAAGCCCAAAAGAAAGCAGGGAAACAGGTGGTTGCTGAAGAGAAGGAGGAAAAGCAGTGGGGATAAGGGGGTGAGCAACAGATGAGCATGAAGGGTTAAATCAGAGAAAACATTTGTCATAAGCATAAAGGAAGTCAGATGGAGATGGAGAGAATTTAGGAAAGGGAGGAAGAAGATTAAAAAAAGAATTTGATTGTTTTTATTAGATGAAAGAGAAAAAAAACAGCAGTGAGCAATGAAGAGATGGAGAGTGGGTGGATTGAGAGAACAATTTCTTCTAAATGTCCTCAAGAGATATGGTAGAAAAAAAAGAAGGAAAACGATTGCGGATAGACATTCTCCTTGATAGACAGGTGGAGCTCAGAGGGGGAGAAAAAAGTAGTAGGATTATCCAAGGCAGGCAGAGAATGAGAAACAGACTTTCATCCATGGGATCAAACTACGACAAATGAGCCAAGTCCTCTAAAATGTAAATGAGGAGTTTCTTTCCAATATGAGACATCTACTGCTGCAGAAAAAAAGTGACACCTACACTACGAAATGACTGACAGCAAAGAAATTAAACAAATCACAGGACTTTGTGAGGACTACAGATAACTTAAATCCTTGATTGACAAACTATCACTTTCACATATTATTACTAAATGCAATTTACAGAATACATTAAATAAATACTGACTGTCTTCTTTCTGCACCAATGTGGCTCTGCAGTCATTTCAGAGCGGATGAAAATGTCCACAGTGAATCTGCTGGCTAGATCTGAGTAGCAAGCATGGCTCCAAAAAAAATAACAACTGACTCAAGACCTGGATTTTTGTGTGTGTGTGTGATGTCTGTCTGCACATGACCCTGTGTGCGTGGGTGTGTGAGAAAGGTGATGTGCCCTTCAAAAAGTCCAGTTGTGTTCAACCTATTTTCATTCACCGTGTTCAGGAGTCCTGTGTCCTATATGTAATGTATGTTGTGGAACAATATGATTACTCTTGCCACTTTAGGATTTCACTATTATCCACATTAATAATTATCTTTGGAGGTTTTGACTCCTTGATTTTACTCACCTCAGATCCCTGAAATATACTGTATGTAACCCTGGTTAGTTAAAAAGAGACTGTTGCACAGCAATGCAGTCACAAAATATCAAAGATTTGTGCCTGAAATTAAAATGTTTTAATTCAATTAATTTTTAATTGTATGATGCCAAATCACAACAAAAGTCGACTCATGTATTATATAGTGTATGTAGTAATGTAGTAATAACGACTGACTTTTCCTTTTGACATGTAATTCAAATGGTTTGATCAGACTGCAGTAAAGTCCATCATTTTAAATCTTACTTATTTAACATTTATCTGACATTTTTCTGTCTGGGAAAGTAAAATCGATAGACCACCCTGGTTGTTGCAATCACTTGAAATTTAAAAGAGAAGTATAATCAGGTAAAAAACAAAAAAAATCATGCTTTATGAACACGTGTCTATTTCTATGCCTGATTTCCTTATCAAATCATCTTGTTTAAGGCGACTACACAGGTGCGCTTGCATTTTTATTTCCGTTTTAACCACTAAGCACCCACACAATGCCCCAATTCATCATCTAAACAAACCTGAAACTGATTGGATTGACTGAAATCCAATCAAATAAGGAACTCTGATTTGACTGGATTTGGGGTCTGTACATACAGGTGTGCAAAGCACACACGATACACAAAATTGGGGCACACGAGCGAGTATTTACACTTTTAAATGAATACTCATCTGCTCACAGTCACACTTGTTCAGTCATGCAAGAATTCCCCCCCTACACACACCCGCTTGCACACAGCCTTTCTCCATATGACTGCATTGTGGGAAATCTGCTTTCTGGAGGAGGATATTACATCACAACAGTCAGCCAGCTCACCCGGCTTCGCTCTCCAAACTGAGTTACCGTGGTTACGGCGTTGGAAAATTAAAATAACCCCCACAGGAGTTCAGAGTATTATGGAAATTCAAAAGCCAAGTTGAAGTTGTGAATGAGTTATGAGAAGGACACGGGTGGCGGGAGGTGGGCGAGGTGTTGTTGTATTCGCAGACAGTATAATTACCAGACAAAAAGGGCAGCAAACAGACATCAACAGCTGAATGCTAGGAGTGGGGATTCCCAGAGGGAGTTGTAATTGTGTTCTTTTATATTAATTATTTCTTTATTCTGATAAGCAAACACATAACCTTCAGTATATTAAACTACAGGCTTGAGAAGTCACGCAAGACGCCCATAACATAATGTATTCTAACTTCAATCACTTGCTGTCACATTAATGACTTAGGAACAGAATTGTTGGCCCTTTTTTAAAATAATCTGCTGAGATGGAGAAATAATATTTTTGTTTTTACTTTTGCTTTTGCTTGCCAAAGAATGGTTTTAAAGTTGCTGTTTTTTTAAAATTATTTTTTATGACAAATAAAAATAAGATAATCCTGGTAAAGCTTCATATCAAATTTGTTACACCATGTGTTGTGCGCCTCAAAAGTCACTATTATTCCCGTTATTAATGACATGACAATAAACCCACAATGTAAACTAATCTAATTTGTCTAATTACTTTTAAATAAAATCTAATATGGCCAAATGGGAAATATGAACATGCCACTTCCTGTTACAATGGGTACTTCTGGAGAGTTGAGACTCACCCCATTGGCTCTGCTCATTGCCTGGTAGTAGATGCTGTAGCTCTTGGCAGGTGACAGCGGAGGGTTCCAGAAACCACCATAGCTCTTGTTGTCCCCCACAGTGAAGGGCTGTACCACCGTGAGGCTGGACGGTGGTAATTCAGCAGCAATGTAATAGGGTGAGTCCAAGATGGAGGCATTGCGGAAGCTCACTGGGACAGAAAAACACTCGGGGGCTTCAGAAGCGGCACGGCGGGTCTTGGACTTGCGCACCTCCTTCACAACAAGCTGGTAGGAGCTGGAAAAATAAATGATGTCTTTAAAAGTAGTGTCTTATGTTGTTTACTGAAACAGGAACAAATCTACTTATCACTAGCTAAAGCAATACTTATGAGGAGATGGTTTACGTGGCAACGACAACAGCCAGAGTTTTTGAAAAGAATAAAAAATTAATCACAATAAACTGACAATATTTCAACTGTTATTTGTCCAGTTAGTGCAGTAGAGACAGACTTTGTTTTGAAATAGGGACATAACACATAAAACTGACAACTCTACTTCAACTTTACTATCCCCTGTAGCTCACAGAGTGCTTTAAATTCATTATTACAATGAAAGCATTAGCAGAAGAGGCCCGAGGTCTGCTATGAGGGGGAAAAAAATTCACAAAATCCCAAACTAACCATTAAAAAGGCGTATAATTTGTTATAAGGGTCACTTATTTCTGAACGACAGATATACTTTAGAAGCTAAACTTCAAACAAAGTTCCTGGCAAATCATTTCCTGTGCTGATTCAGCACCCCAGTACAGCTTAAAGGAAGAAAATACGTGTGTGTGTGTGTGTGTGTGTGTGTGTGTGTGTGTGTGTGTGTGTGTGTGTGTGTGTATAAGAGAACGGTGAGGGTAGAAATGAATGGAGTCCAAACGTGTCTCCTCTTGCCTTATATTCTTTATGTGTACATCAATAGCACGTGTGTGTGTGCATGCTCTCTAACAGGTGCGCATTTACCTGTATGTGCTTTGGCAGGTGTGCTTGTGCTTGTGTGTATTTTAACACATGTGTAGTGGGGTGTTTATATACTTGAATGAACATCTATCTTTGTGCAGTGGAGCTGCTTTCATGTGTATGTGTGTTTCCATTACACTCTGAGAGGCTTCATGAATGGCTGAGGGCTCCTTTAGCGGTCAGGACAAACGCAGCGGCCCTCCGCAATTACCTCCGTCCTCCACGCCAAGAACTCACTTCACAATTATACGCAATTAGGGAAATGTATGTTTCTGTGAAGGGGGCCGCGGCCAATTATCCCCTGTTCCCGTTTGGCAGCTTTCATAAAAGATAATTGCTGATGACCAAAGATGAGTCCCTCTCTCTCTCCCTTACTGTCACTCTCTTTGCTGTTTCTGCCTTTCTGGTAAAATATCCATTTCAAACTAATGGCTTTCAGAGACTGCACAAGGGATGAAGCAGGGGCCTAGCACAAGGAGCGGATAGGGAATTGTGTATGTGTGGGTCTGTGTCGAGCGCTTGGGAGCCCTTATATGTGTGTGTGCTTCTGTTGTAACTATCCATGTCTTTGAATACATATCCATAGGTGTGTGTACGTGTGTTATTGTACCTTTACTCTGTTTGTGAGATGTTACACCTTTACAGCTTGAACATTTAGAGTAAGGGGATTTTCTGAGACTGGTGGATGGCTGTGTGATTATTAGGCAACATAAAGCGAGTGAATTCGAAAAGTGAAGAAATCACTGTGTGTGTATGTGTGTTCTTTGGGGGTTTTTTGTTTGTTTTTTTTCCTCAAATAGACAGCTGTTACTGTCACTGTTAAAACTTGGTTTTAAGCTTTAAAGTTGAAGTTTACAGTTAAGGCTTGAAATAAATATATCTCATCAGTACCAATGAAAAGTTTGTTCAGACCTTCCACTGGTACTGTATACTTCTAGAAAGTGTTTTGCTGAGGCTTGCAGACATGTTTTTTGTCATGCACTCTGATGAATGGAGCATGTATGTATGAATATATTGGCAAGTAAAACTGAGAGATTTTTGAGAGTTATTTTCTTCATGTTCCTGTTTTGGAGCAACTATATTATGTGGATGTCATTTTGTGTCACACTGAAGTAATATTCCTTCCAGCCAAGCCACTCTATCATGGCAACACCACCCACCAATGTCAGTGGTTTTGCACAGCAGGACAATGCACTGTTCACTTTGCAAAATCTCATCAAGACATGTTGAAGGAATGTAACAGAATCCATGATGCTTAGCCAACCTCGAGACTCAGGATGCCCGAGAACAAGCCAGATCCATAGAAGTCTAAATCTTAACCCGCTGGGCTCAAATAATCTGTAATGTGCTACTGTCATATACCACAGGACAACCTCAGAGATTCCATGACAGGCCCAGCAGCTGTTTTAGCAGCATGAAGGAGACCTACACAATATTAAGCACTGGATTTTAATCAACTGGTGCATATCTGCACTGACAGTCACTGTAAACATTTACAATGGTTTCCGTTTGTGTGCATTTATGTGAAAGTGAACTTGTAGGCACCTGAGCATGCAGCCTGATGTGTGTGTCTTATGAGTGTGTGTCTCAACAGCTGCTTCGCTTTACAGAGCCTTTTCGAGAAAAAAAAAATCTTATCTAACCTCCTAAATTTCAGATGCTCTGATCTGCAGGATGAATAAGAAAACAATTGCAGCAAAAACATTTGTGTGCACATTAACAAACAGATGCCTTTTTTTCCTGCTTCCACACGTACATCTGTTGGCACTTAAAATATGTAATACTTGCACCAAACACACATAATAAGCAAACACATTAATGGGCTTTTCTCTAGTTGATAAACACATGAAGATGGTAGCGATGAGGGTGCGGCCTAATTCAACATGAGATATATTTGCCATCTGCGGGTGATTAATGATGAGATATGATAAGGGATTTACAAAAATTAATGCTAAACCACTGACCTACACTCACATTTCACAAATCCATTTCCCAAAGTCTAAATTGAAGTGATATATATTCTCCACACAGCATTGTCGAAGCTCTATTTCCCTAAAGGCGAGCGAGAATAATGTTCTCCCCTGCACCAATTAAATGGATGAGATCACATGTTCAAAGTGAACTTTTAATTAAAAACATGCTGGCTGAAAAAATGAGAAAAGGAAAAGAAATAAATTAGCTGGGTGCCTTCACTCGCTGCTTTGTTTTGAAGTGAATACAGTGGACTGGTGACTGGGAAAATAAAACCTGTGTGTGCCTGATAAAAGCATTCTAAGGGATTTTACAGAACATGCAAATACAATCTATTTATTGGAGAAGTCATTTGCAAAGATGTTCTTGCACCACAAACGTTGTGATTTCTCCGGTTGCTAGACAAGCCGCACAATCTGCTGCTGACTATGGCAACCTGCTAGAGACCAAAGCAATCAAAAGATTTTTGATTGGATACCTCTTTGCAACCAATGACCAGTGACTGTCAGCAACCTCCAGCAACCACTGCAGCATTCACTCTTCCTTAGTGATCAGCAGGTGCCACTGGCCTGTCTGAATGAGGCTCATATAGTCAATTTCACTGACAGTTAGCAACTTGCAGCCACCAGATTACACACTTTTTCCCTTGTGTCTCATGGTTGCCACTGACTGGTCACAAGGCCTGTTTATCCGGGGCCTTAAGAGACATGTGGGTGCTGTTTGTCCTGTTTGACTTTTTGTTGAATGTTGATAAAACTAAGAATTAGCATTAATTACACTTTGTGTTAAATGTGTCTTTTAGTTAACCAAAACTGGTAGTGTCAGCAAAGTACAGACACACTTTGTGAGCCAAGCTAAAAACCCACTCCAAGTGTTAGTTTATGCTGAGGCTTTTTTCTTTTATACTGTTTAGTCCTTGTTTTCACATGTATGGTATAAATTAATAACACCATCAATATCTATGTATACGACTATGAATACGGTGTTTTCTGTACAATATGCTCAATAAAATCCAAATTTCCATTTCCTTATGTTAAGAATTTGATGGCTGAAACCTTAAATTAAAGCAAAGTTTCAAGTAACCAGCTAAAGTATCAGACACTTGGGCCTGCAATGTCCAGTAGAAGTTGCAATTCCACTAGTGAATAGCCAAAAAGTTACAAAAAGCAAAATGAGTAATGGCAAAATGTTTCACTGACAAATTTAAAAAAAAAAAATCATTCTCTGAATTCCTTTGCATACAAATTAGACTTATATGTGTGAGTAACTGCAATGGCTCTAAAAGGGCCCTGAAGGAAGACCAAAAGAACATGGATGGAAAAAAGTAGGGGGGGTAATGAAAAGGAGGTAGATGGGATGCTGGGAGGAAAAATGTGAGTAGGACAGCAGAGGATAGTAAAAGAAACTCTATGAAAAAGAAACTAAAATTTTGTTAAGGATTGTTAAGAAATTACCTGATAGGTGCTCCGCGGGACTGGGCAGGTTTCAGCAGGATAGTGATGGTTGTCTCGGTCTCATTAAGTGGAGACTCTGACTCATACTCTGGCATCATGGGGGCTGAAAAGGTTTAACAAATTTAAATTTTAAAACAGGTTACCGTACACGGACAATTTTATTGGCCAGCATAATTTAAAAAGCTCTGGGTTGTGGTCAGTCATTTGGTAGAGCACATTTTGAGTCCTTATACCTTTCTTAAAAAGACACTGAAATTAAGTTAACCTGTTTGAGCCATGTCATAGTTTTGTTATTCTCAGAAAAAAACCCACCGGATGTTAATCTGTCTTGAAATGAAAGACCTTTTTAATTAGCTGCCCTCCAGGAAGCCTTTAATGAAAATAATTAAGTAACATGACAAGTTCAAAATAAGACAGTTTTATAAGGTTTAAATAATTTTCTAAAAACATGGCTGATTTGTCCCTTCGTGGTAAAAGTTGTGACCTGAAGCTAATGCAACTCAAAATGTCTCGTTACAAAACAAATGAAAACTTTTCTGATCATTGGTGTTTATATAACACTTTTATTTATCTATCAGATGAAATTAAGGCTAAAACAATTTCACAAGTATAAATATAGTAAATGTCTAGAACAAAATATGCAGATTTATTAGCATTGTACGTGAATTCTGGTAACTTTAGCATACTATACATTAGTATACTGACATTTTACATGAATTGTAACAGTACATGGTTTTTGTTTTGGACTGTAAAACTTTATGTGACAAGGCCAAAGCAATCATGCAATCTGATGCCTGTGGGATCATGTCTCTTTGGACTGTCAAACAATGGAGCAAAGAGGTCCACATAAAGATACATGTGCTTTGCCCATCAACGATTCACGCCCAGAGCCAGCACATAGGAGGTACAGTTCTTACACATGATGAATAAAATATGAGATCTTTTAAAAACTGTAAATATGATAAATGTCAAGAAAAAAGTACAAGGATGTGTAATTCTACTATACTGACATATATTTGTATACCGAGATGTTACAAGCATTGTGACAGTGCATGATTTGTCATTTTTGGGTTTTTCTTCCTGTTTAATAAATAATAGACGGAGCATCTAACTTTATGGGGCAAGGCCATGCAATCTGATGCCTGTGGGATCAATCCTCTTTCGACTATCGAACATTGGAATAATGATGCCCACACAAAGACAGATGACCTTTGCCCTTGACTCATTCATGCCTGCAGTGAACATATTGGAGACACTGATCTTTGTAGCATGCTCATACACATGTACAAGACCCTAGCAAAGAAGATATATCCCTGTTTGGATATATCTTTGACCTATGCATCTCAGACTGATGGATTGTCTGTACGAGAGACTGTGCCCTATTGAACAAGAAACCAATATCTCAAAAGGGTTTGACTGCAATTTGAAACAAGTGAACATGCTAGCTGACCAACAATCATCCTCCTTCTAATGACACATGTTTTAGAAATAGCGATACATCCCAAAACCAATCCCAAAAGTAACTCTGTACAAAGGGTTTGTAAAGGTATAAAATCACAGAAATACAATATGTTTCTTGACTTACATGCACACCAACAGTGCTTTGCAAGATATTACCAGAAAGGCATTCTAGTACCTTTGTGGTAGTATACAAATACATTTTTTTTATGGTCTCGCCTTTAAAGGGTTAATGTAACTATTAAATGTAACTTGAATAAAAAAAGAAGTCTAAAAAAACCCAACCTTTGAGGTCTACTTCTTCGTCACTGACAAAGACGGACGGGCATATGGCAAAGCCAGCTATGTTTCCTCTGAGTCAACAATGGAAGAAAAAACGCACCCTCCCATGTGTATGTCGAATCCCTGATTTAAAACATGTAAATGCTAAATTGCTATGAAATGTTCTGTTTTTTTAACATCACAGTATATCTCAACCAGAATGACATTATCAGGATGTATAAAGGTAAAGAAGAAGTAGATGTAAGCTTCACCGCCGAGGGCTTCACAGCTATTCTATTACACTCAAATTTTAATTTCACATCTGTCATGCCCTCATACTGGAGGTGCAGCATATAAATGTCTGAGTAGAACATCAACACTTTTTTCCCTGATTGGTATGGCATTCAGGTTATTAGCATGAATCCTACCCCCGCCACTCTGTCCATCCATCTCTATGTGTCTGCAGCATTTAATTTAAATCTCTACATCATGTAGCTCCTGAACGAGATAATAAAGATTGGTGATGGCGTGACATTTGAAAGAAGACACATCTGTTATGTGTGGAGGCACCACATTTCCTTTTTGTTCCTCTTGGCAATGTGTTGTTAAGTTTTGAAAGGATGATGGAAGAACAGAGGCTCGGTGGAAAGGTCACACTAAAAATCACTGTAGGTGTTGACAGATAGGACAACACTTAAAACATACTGTTAACACATTACGCATTCATCTTCTAGATCAGTCAGGACTTCATCGTGTACAGCAGCACTGTGACAAGGATTCAGTGGTATATTCGCATTTGACTTTAAGCCACAAACCCACATTTTGTTTTGTTTTTTATATTATAGGGAATAGAAGTGACGTGTATACTGTCAACACATGGTAGCGTATATTGTAGTTTACTGTATTATTGTTGGGTTGTATTATTGTAGGGTTTTTACTATACAATATAAAGAGCTTAAAGCAACTGCTGTTGTGATTTGGCGCTATATCAATAAAACCGAATGGAATTGAACTAAGTTGAATAGTGTCGTTAACAGAAAACAATTTCAGGCCACATTTTTTATAAACCACACTGCTTTTTTTAGTAAAAGAGTGGACACTTGTTGTGGCACTTAACAGACTCCAGGACTGAATACAGATAAGTGAAGTGGTTTGAATACAGAGCCTCTTTTGAAACAAAGTGAAAGCACAAGATCTATGTATGCTAGTCAACTATGTAATGAGACTGACAAATGTGGAAGTGACAAGCTTTCAGTGAAATACCGAGTGGTTTATATTTCTAAATGTTCATATTTTACTCTGCAGCTTTTGTATTCATTCCTAAATTAAAATTATTCTCAGTAATGCGATACTTATTCAGAGTTCCTTCTCTATAAAGTTGACTTGTAACCATAAGAGTTTATCGGTTTAGCGCAAACTTACAGGGAGTGTCTCCTCAGAGCTTTCTGTTTTCTTTTGTTTTTTCAAAGGTCACAACTGCCTCAATGAGGTCTAACTAGCTAAACAAACCACAAAGGAGAGACAATCCAGTAAAAGATTTGTAAAGGGCTTACAGGAGAATTGTTGGAAAAAAAAAAGGCAAAATGTGAAATCAGAAAGGCACACAGAGAGATTTAGATAACAAAGAATGAGCTGAAGGGTTTTATTTAGCATCAGTCATTCTGTCATTTGGGCATCACAGCATAGCCTTCTCTAAACAGTTGAAATGATAATGTTCTCTCATTCAAGAATAAAGAGCTGTATTAACATATGAGGGCACTTCACAATTCTTGCCACAAAAGTTGATTGTTTTTCCTTTTTTTGTGCAGCGACTGACATTTTCTGTGGACCAAGGCTGGTGACACAAACAGGGGGATACAAAGCCAGATGGGAGAACAACCAAATGGTCATTCAGACAAAGAGAGACACAAATTAAAACGCTTATTTATAGTGCAACTGACTGACATGTCAGCACACAGGCTGTCTAATAAACACGCTTTTACTGTCTGTATGTGGTATTAATGTTTTAAGAAGCAAATAACACCTAACAGTATTGTTTACCTGCAATCTTGGTGGTTATGCGGGTAGTGACAGGCGGACCAAAGCCCTTGTTGGTAGATGCTTTAAGGGTGAAGAAGTAGGTGGTTCCTGGGTACAGCCCAACAAACAGATGGTGGGTCTCATTCCTCTGCTTGAAAACTTGTCCCCGCTGGGTTGTCAGATCAGCACTGGGGTCCAAGGAGCTCAGTGCCTTATAGGTAATCTAGAGGTAGATGGGAAAATTTTACATTTAAATGCACTTACATAATTCAGCTTTATTTATTCATCTGTTTACATTTGTTTCACTCACGCAATTTAAATAAACAAGTGATAGCTCATTTAATTTTAACATGACTGAAATATCTTTTATTTATTTATTTTTTAAAGGAAGGAACAAGCAGGTTTGGTTTAACGTTGCACTTGAGGTTTTAGATATCAATTTGTTTAAACCAATTTTTGTAATGCTTGATTTCAATCAATAATATCTGTTTTCGTTTTTTTATCCATAAGTAGTTTGGTTCGGTTGAATAATGCTTCAAAATTTAAAAAGAACACATTTATGCGTTCATCTAATTGTACACGCAGGCATGCAACAGCATCCTTTGGATTCACTGATGTACAGCTGGTGTACAGTTGGCTGTACAACCAACCAATAAAATGAAAAATGCTATAAATGCTGCATGGCCTGAGGGGAATTGCAATCAGTGATCTTTCTTTTGTCAACATGAATGTTCAATTTTCCCATTAGACATTTCATTTGATTTGATTCAATTTCAAAAATGCCAGCTTAAGTGCAGTCTTAGAGGGTAAAATATGTTATGGTATAAACAGTAATTTCAACCTGTAAAGAATATCAAAATAGACTGATTTTCTTTCTTCTATTTTTTAATCTTCAAATCAGAAAAAAACAAAAAACAAAACAAAAGAAAGTAAGCTTTAAATTCGGAGTCACCGTCTTCCAAACACCTCCACTGACACATCTAAAAAATCCAGTAAATCAATCATCAGTTATTAAATTGTCTGCTAAATGCAGTACAAATCAATTTTTGGAGTTCAAGAGATGATGGCTCTTTACAATAGGTCTGTGTGTCTCTCCACGATCTCCACTTTGAGACTGGAACAAATTGAGCAAATTGACCCGTAACCATTAAACTGGCAGAAACACTAAAATAGTTCTTCTGTTAAAAGAACTGTCAATGTCTGTCGTGGTGTTGCTACTGGCAAGTTTCCACACTGTGAAACCATCAATGACTGCACACATGGGCACACACAAACACGCACGATAAAACACAGGAGGACAGCTGTCATTGTGAATGACAGTCAGTACAAAAGATTATTGAGTGGTGGGAAAAAACACATTAAAAGCAAATCAACTCCAAACACATTTCAGCACTTTGTGGTTGTGTGTAAGTGCTTGTCCGAGTACATATCTGTTTGTCCTTTAGCCACAAAGTGTGAAAAAACGTACTGGATAAAGTGTGAAAGTGAAAACAAAGAGGCAGGTAGAGCAGGAGACTGAACCAGAGAGACAGAAACAACAAAACGAGTGAGCCATAAGTCTTTTGCCAACTTGCAGAGCTACCTCACCTAGAAAGATCACATCACTAAATGTCTAAATGACTCACATCAACTGAAAAGTTACCAAATACATTAACTAACAAGGAGAAAGATCCTTAAGAGATGCATAATACACAGAAATAACTGAGTAAGAATAAAAACATTTTGAGGGAGACAGGGGGAAAAAACAACAGAACTGTTCTGGAGGAACAACATGACTATGACCTCTCCAGTTTGCATTCAGGACTAAAGACAATATGTCATATTTCAGAATGAACAGCACAGAATGACACAAAGGGGTTATAAGGTAAGGTGGAAAAGAAAGAAAAAGGTGGACAAACAAACTGAAAACAGCATAAAGTTTTGGAACAGAAATGCAATGAATAGATGATAGGCTAATTTAGACACAAACACATTTGCGCAATCAAACAGTGATGTTTATGGATTCCAGGAAGGGTTTTAATTTAATGTATTGATAATCTTTAGCACCATTACTCTCAATTTAAAATGAGAATACTGCATTGATATACACTCAAAGCAGATTAGTGGGAGTGAGTAAAAAAGAAGACAACGAGGAAAATAATAACGGTGATAAAGAGGAAGATAAAAACAAGACTGAACAAGAATGAATAAGGAAAAGAAAGCAAGGACATGAAAAGAAACAAGTGATGTGGATAGACACAAAGGGAAAATGGGTAGCTTCGAGTGTGCATGGGAGTGTGTTAGAGTGAAATAGCACATTTGTTGGAGGACGAATTCAGGAATTCAAAATCATGGACGTTGGGTGGTCCACGTCAGCCCATTAACAGTCAAATCAAAGGCATTGATAGCTGGGTGCATCACTTCAACTAGGCCCCAGGCTGTAGTACTGATGTGTGAATACGTGACTTTGGATGGATGTGCTGGAGCAAATACAAATGCAAAGAGTGAGGACATACGACAGGACAGAGCAGAAGAAAGGAAAGACGCAAAGTAAGGGAGACCATGGCTGTGTCCCAATTCAGGGTCTGCACGCTTGAAGTACGCGCACTACGCGTACTACGTACGGTGCGTACTATAAGTACGAGACGTGCGGAAGTGAGAGGCTTGTGAAATGGGACTGTATACGCTTCGTCGCGCTGTTCAGGTTGCCTAGCAACCATGATAATAATCGCAAGACAGGTTATATACAGCATTGTTTGACAGAAATGAAGGAGAAAAATGTTTTGTTGGTCATTCATTTTTGTCATGACATCACTTTGATTAGTTGAGTATCTGAGGCTGAGACCATGGGACTGTAAAACATGATTGTTGGGCTTCATCTCTGTGATGAACAGTCATTTAAGATTAGTTAGTAAATAACTATATATATATATATATATATATATATATATATATATATATCTCACTGACTTTCAGCTTGTTTGTGGATATATGACCGACTTTAATTATTAAACATTCGCACATAAATAAGTGACGTCATATTCAGTACTTTTGACAGTTCACTCTTCGGCCGCTCCATCTTATTAGGGAAATTCCACATACATAAATGTAAATTTCAAAACTCAACCCCATCATTTAATTTGTTTTTGACTGAAATTGAATATTACTTAAACTCTCTTAAATTAACTTCCAATAAAAAAGGTTTATCATTGATTGAAATTCATTCAGAAATGTTTAACGAATGAGCTGTCACAACTTTCAAGTACAAAGTTGTTATGAAGTCTGTCACATTCCCCCCCCTTTTTTTCTTTTTTTATCCTTTATTTATCCTTCTTATTTCATTGTACTGTATATTGTTACTCTTATTTGCCTTGTATGTCTACTGTACAAACTGAACTGGAATGACTGACTGTTCGCTTTATAAGTTCAATAAAGTTTGGGAAAAAAAAAAACTCTTCGGCCGCTCCCTTCTGCCGTATTTTGCGGCAAAATTCTCCACACCCACCGCCGCGCTATGAATTGTGGGATATGTGGGGCCACGAAGCGTGCACCGGACCACGCTTAATATTTGGGGAAATTGACGGCACATTTGGAGTATGCATTTGAAGCACACTTCGAATTGGGACAGCCGTCGGCACGTGGCGTTGACGTAACCGCACTTGAATTGCGTACTTCAAGCGTGCAGACCCTGAATTGGGACACAGCCCATGTAAATATGTGAGAAAATAGAATGGCTGCCCCAGACTCAGATATATGATGGTGCAGAAGCTACAGTACATTCATGTTATTAATAAGCAGAAAAAAAGATTCATAATTAGTTTGAGCTCATTTGTCTGCATTATTTGATGCATTGGGATTGCCACTGTCCCCTAGTGAAAAGCTGTTCCTATGGATAGCAATAGTTAGAAAAGAGATCAGAAGGTCTGACATGAATGAATGTTCCCATTATGTTCAGTAGCTCTTTGCTTCTATTGTGAATTTAATGCGAGACTGAAACTCTACCTTGTCTAGATATTTGGAGGCCGCTGCTCTTTTCTGGCTAAAATCGAACTACCTCAAAACCCACCAAAGTTGAAATAAGAGCCTAAAGCCACAAACAATGCTTCTACCAGTCTTCCTTCTTTTTTTGTTTTTTCGTCAGTTTTATTGCCAGTGACCTGAGATGGTAAAATGATAAGAAGTTTTCTCCTCCACTTTCTCGACACATTACTCCCCTGCTACAAACCAGACAGATGACTAAAGTGCCTCTCAGATTGAGGAACCTGGGACAAAACCTTTAGCCAATAGAAGATAACAGTCTAAAACGCAGCAGAAAAAGCCTAGACAGAGCAGCAGCTTTGCCTTCAACAACCGGCTGACGTCTCCCAGGCCTGAAAGTTCGCCTGGCTGGCTGAATAAAACATGGTGAATCAATAGCTATTTATACAGGCTGGGACTTGGGGGCTGGAACAATAAAATATCATCTCTTTCATCTACGCTGCAGTTTTGGTTTGCACATCGATGGCTGTTATTTTATAAGTCATGAATGGCTCTCTATATTTTTATAGGCTTTATGCTCCGTCTCTCTTTTTCTCTCATCTTACCCACTCACATTTCTTTCCATATTGAGCAGTAGACTCTTGCTTTCTCTCCGTCTTCTACCCTTTACAGGGTATTTCCTCTTTTTAGCCACTCTTTTCTTTTTCTCTTCCTCCCTTTTCTTCACAATTTCCTTGTTTTTCCTCATCTTTCTTCTCTCTCTCTCTCTCTCTTTCTCCCTTTATAGTTGATGTACTTGGAATTGGTAGAGCTATAAAGCTCAGGTTGTTTTATTGGCCAATGAAAAGGCAGGCGCGCAGCGGGGCAGTGCATCTTGGGTAATAGAGTGTGTGTCTTTGAGGGATAACTTACCAGAGGGAAGGCAGACATATGTGTGAGTTAGTGCGTGATTGAATTAGTGGGTAGGAAAGGAGAAAGTGAGAATGGTAAATAGATGATGAAGTAGAAATGGAAGGAAATGATCAAAGGAACAGGAGAAGGGAAAAGTGAAAGGTGAGGAAAATAGAACAGGAACATATAAATAGGGGTGGGTTTTACATTGGTATCAGTTCCAGACTGATCAACATAGAAATATTGATAACTATAGTTCTGCTATCAGGATTTCTGAAAGATTTATTCTTTGTGACCTTTTCAAATTCCTAACTAACCCCAAATACTGATGAAGCTACCAGTGTAAACAGATTAACATTGAAATTACTGTGCATT